GGCGGATCCCGGTGCAGCGGCCCTCGGCGCGCCGCCTCCCGGCACGGCCCGGCCCGGCCCGGTATGGGCTCCGCGCACTCCGTGCCCGCCGAGATGCGGGAGCTGGCCGACAGGACCGGCTGTAAGTATCGCCCGCCGCGGGTCCCCGGGGCTACCACGGCTGTCCGGCCCCGCGGGGGGACATGTCACCCGGGGAGGGATGCAGGAATGTCACCGGGGGATGGAGGGATGAAGGAGATTTTTGGGGATGGGGGGGGGGGGGGGCAGCTATGTCACCCACAGGGCTGCACCCCCGGTGTTGCCCAGGCGGGGTGTCAAGCGTGCACACGTGTGAGCTCCAGCAGCGCTTTTGCCCACCCACGCTGCTAGTGCAAGAAATTGTCCCCACGCTCCGCTGGTTTGCCCAGGAGCCACCGGCTCCACTGCTGTCCGTCCATCTGTCCATCCGGTGATGCTCTGGGGGCTGATACGGTGCGTAACGCCCGGCGGGGGGGGGTGGTTTGCAGCAGGGACGTGGCCTAGAGCTGCAAGCAGGACTCGGCGCGTAGGACGAGGTGGTCGTGTTCCTCCTGGGATATGTCATCCCTCTGGGATGTCCCGGGACGTGGCCAGCTCTGGGCACAGAGATGGGGATGCTCCTTCCTGGTTCCTCCAGCTCCTGCCGTACTAAGAGCAGGCTGGGATGGAGCGAGGGGGGGGGAGGAAGGCAGCTCTGCCCACAACCAAAGGATGTGCTGGGGCTGAGAGGGTCCAGCAACTCTCCCCGGCCCTGCTACGGGTCCTATGGGCACATCACCCTTCGTCCCCTCTCCTCCTCCTCCTCCAGGGAGGGCTGAGAACTGCAGCACCCCGGGGTGAACTCAGCCATCCCCGCAGGCAGGAGCCTGGGGACCCCCCCCCGGGGTGCGAGCGTGGCAGCCCAGGGTGGGAGGAGGTTTTGGGGAACACCTTGGCCTGGGGATCCTGCTGCAGCAGGCAGCTCCCACGCAGGCAGTGCTGCCCGTGGGCCTTTCTCTGGTGTCTCCCCGTGGGAGGCACCTGCCTCACGCCTGAGTGCCCCTGGGAATCAGTCCCGGAGGAGGGTTTACAAAGGAAACACCCCAAAAAAGTCTCATCGAAACCAGAGGTCAGGGGTGGGGAGGGGGAGTGTGATGACCCTGTGCCCTGACCAGGGTGCATGGGCTCTCACCATGCTGTGCCTGCTGCTAGAAAAACCTGGGGAATGCAAGTTTGGTTTTTTTTTCACAGACTCGCTGCTGTGGTACAACCTCGTGGAGGTCATCACAGTCACCCTTGGGGGGAGCAGGGACAGGGCAGGGCTCCCTGTGGGTCCCGAGGATGCACTCATGGCCTGTTTCTTCACCTTCTCCCCCACTGCTTTAAACCCCAAAAGCCGCAGGGTCACCCAGAGCTCTCTGCTCGGGGCCGTCGGGGCCTGTTCCCATCCCTGCTGCCGCGTGCTTGATCACGAAGCTGCTGCAGTGGCTCTTCCCGGGACGATGTGATCTTTTCCTGGGACGATGTGATCTTTTCCCACATCCAGGCTGGTTCAGCGAGGCAAAACACGGCACAGGGAAGGCAGCACAGGGCTGAGCCCCTCCAGCGCATCTCTTCCCTGGGGGATGCTCTTTGCTTGAGCAGCACAAACTGCTGCAGGCTGGGAAACAGCAAACCCAGCACCCTCCAGTTTAAATACCTTTTTTTTTTTTTTTTTTTTTTTCCCCTATAAGCATAGGTTGCCATGCTTGGACACGGGCCTGCAGCATCAGAGCGCTGAGGACGTTTCTCAGTGATACGAGCAGCCTCTCCTGCCCTTGAGCCAGTCCTTCTCACAGGAAAGCCTTTGCCCTTTGTGCAGGTGCAGCTTTTTTTTTTGGAAAGCAGCCGAGCGCTGCCGGCCTTTGCAGGACGGTGCAGTCCTCAGAGACTTGCCTGCACCGCAGCCCTGTGCTGCAGCTTGGGGGCCGGGCGAGGAAGACCTGGGTTTGGGGAAGAAGGGGGGGGAAGAGCTGTCTTTTTTGCCTTGCAGCTGTGGGCTGGATGCAGAGTGAGGCTGGACCGACCGTCAGCATCCAGCCATTGACCCCAGTTTTTGACATGTCGGTGTCTGGGACATTTTTCTGAGAGATCAAAGATTTTGGTGTACAACCAAGTCCCAGATGTTGAAGGCTTGGTGGCCCAGCTGCTCCCATGGTGACGGTGGTGTTGTCAAGGGAGAAAGTGAAAGGTCACTTCTCCATGGCCTAAATTGGAAAGCAAAGTCCAGAGAAAGTTTCCGTGTGTGTGTGGAGAGCAGCAGAGCACCAGAGAGGAGCTAGAGGAAAAAAACCACATCATATAGGTAAATTGGTGGTGATCACCACCTGAGAGACAGTGGGTTCAGCGGGGGGACCCCCTAAAGCCCATCCGGGGGGGGCTTAAATGGCCTCATCCTGCAAAGGGGCTGGTGGCTGCCAGCATGGGCAGAGATCCTGGGCAGGCACAGAGCCCCAGCAACAAGCACAGATGGGTTTTCCAGTTCATTAATAAAGGTCTGTAAATGCTCAGCCTTACTGATCAATACAGTTTCTATTCCAAGGCTGTGAAACAACAGTCAGAAACAGAGCAAAGGACATTATTTAAACATAATAAAAGAGACAGAGGGAGCCAGCCAGCGAGCACCCAAGCTCAGCATTGACCCCTTGTCTTTCAGCCGCAGCAGTTAACCATTTGCAGTCCCTCAATTATACTTTAACATGCTTTTATCTTTCTCCGTGCCACCAGGAAAGGCTGATGACCAGCCGCTGGGGCCGCAGCGAGCGTTCGGGTCCAGCTGGCGCCCGGACAGACGCCACCAGCTTGAGCAAACAGAGCTGAAAGCCACTTCCCTGGCTCCTGGGAATGGCTACTGTCAATATTTGCACGAGAAAGTCAGGCTCTGCATGTCTTCAGGGGTTTGGAGACCTTGGTTATGGCCTGTAGAGAACAGCTGGGAAAAAAACCATAAAATAACCTGTGTCGTGGGGTTAAGGAGGTGAAAAGATGCTGTAACCTCAGCGCTTGTGGGGCTCAAGGCAAGGTTGATAGGCATCCCAGTCCCTACCCCGGGCTGATGCTCCGGTGGGCACAGCCGCCTGCCCCAATGGGTCGGGGCTTCCTGGTGCCCCAGCTCCCCGCGAGCAGCAGCAGCTATTTCAAAGCCCGGCTTTGCTTTTTCTGGGTACTGAGGCTTCTCCTCCATGTTCAGCCTTTCCTTCCCCCAGCAAGGCACAGGTGGCTGCTGTCAGCTTTGGGGTTTTCTTTTTGGTTTTTTTAGTGTTATTTTCTGTCACCTGGCGTGGCCACGTACATGAGTACATGAACCTCCCAGCTGCAAGTAGAGATGCCCCGGGGCAGGTTGAGATGTGCTGCCGGGGCACAGCTCCTGCCCACTGCGCCAACAACCCCCAAATTAAATGCTCAAGCCTGTTTGAAGAGTCTGCTACCGAGGATCCTAAACTGGAGGAGGTGGGATCCTGCCGTGCCATGCCATGCAGGCTGGGCCAGGGGAGTTTCTGCAGACCAGGACTGGGGATAAACCAGCCCTTGGTATCACCCCCCTCCCATGCAGCGAGCAAGGGACAGAGCACACAGGGACCGACGCAGTGAGATGGACCTTGCAGAGCCGCATAGAGCCACCAAAGGGAAACAGGGATGGGGAAAAACTGTGCCAAAAAGTGCCCAAGGCTGTACCTTGCTGCAGGAACGATGCGGAGCAGGCAGCCTTTTGGCTATTGCCGGACAGGGTGGGCTTTGGTGGTGTCCCTCTCCCAGGGAATAAGCTTTGCAGCAGGTTTTGGTGCCTGCCAGACTCCTTGTGTCCCTGGGCAGGACTCGAGCTCTGCAGATGGGTGTCCTGAGGTCCCCTAGGAGCTGCCTTGTGCCCAGGGAGCTCACCCCCCTCCCCATCACCTCTCTGTTTTCCCCCAACAGTCACCTCTGAACAAATCGAGCACTTGCACCGACGATTCAAGCAGCTGAGCCGGGACCAGCTGACGATCCGGTAAGGCGCTTCCATTTCCACTGCCGGGGCGATCCCCGTCCCGCTGGGGTCTGGTCAGAGCATCACCCGGGCTGGCGAAGGGCGCCTAGTCAGGGTGCCCAGGTCCCCGGGCTGCGAGAACGAGGGTGTCCTTGCCGGTCATCCCAGGGCCGTGCTGAGCTGGCTCTCTGCAGGGTGGTATTGCAAATAATGTGAGGAAAAATGAGTGGTGAAGCAGTGGCCTGAGAGGAGGGTTGCTCCTGCACCCCATTTTTTCTCCAGCTTTAAAAACAGTTTTGGGGAGGAAAGTGAGAAGTAAGTCCCTACACAGCAGCGACAGTGGGGTTTGCAGTTGCCCTTTTCCCCCCTCCTTGGCGTCTTTGCAGGCAATTGTGCACCAAAGCCATGACTCTGCTTTCTCGGAAAAGCTCTGGTACGTCCAACCAGCTTCACCAGCCACACGAGGAGCCAGTGCGGGCCGGTGAGCCCAGCTGCCCTCTGCTTCCACTCCCCCCAAGATTATTTCTTGGCTCATTTACTTTATAAAAAGTTGATACCAAATGACCAGCACAGGCTCAAGGTGGTGTCTGTGCAGCAAACATGGGGCAGCAGCAAGATGCAGTGGGATGGTAGATGGCAGAAGCTCCTTCCCTCGCCTCCTCGAGCCCCGTTCAGGACCTTATTCCTGGGAAAACTGAAAACCCATGCAGCCAGTTGCAGGTCGAGCCAAGCAAAGGGTCCCAGTATCAGCCCTGAGCCACTGTGTCCCAGAGCTTCCCAAAGACCCATTTTAGTGGGGACAAAATTCCCCCGTAGCTGCACCAAGCACAGCCTGATGTGGCAGTGCGGCTTGCTTTCAGTCTGAATTGAGGCAAATAGGGGTTTCCATGCCAAACCTCTGTTTTGTTTTGTTTTTTTCATGATTGCTTTGAAAGAATGGGGTCGGGGCTTCTGCCCCAGCCCTTCAGTGATTGTCGCAGCATCTCCCTCCTCTGCAGCTCCCTCACACTTCGGGCTGTGTCTGTTTCCTTTGCAGCAAGGAGAATTTTGACAGCATCCCCGATCTGGAGTTCAACCCAATTAGGGGGAAAATCGTCCATGCTTTTTTCGACAAGCGGTAAGAATATCCCCGGCACTGTGTGGAGGGTCGGGGTAATTGGTTTATCCTCTGAAAGTGGGATGTAGCTGGGCAAAGATCTTCTCTCTAAAGGCTGGGATGGAGCCAAGGTGAAAATTACAGACATTTAAGCTAAGTCTTAGGGAAAAACCTGTCCTAAAGCTTTGCTGAGGGATGCGCCGGGCTCTGCGGCGGGTGGCTGGGATGGTCCCGGCTGCCCGTCACTGACGGCTCCGCTCTTGGCAGGAACCTGCGGCAGGAGTCGGATGGGCTGGCGGATGAGATAAACTTCGAAGACTTCCTGACCATCATGTCCTACTTCAGACCCATCGAGATGAACATGGACGAGGAGCAACTCGATCGCTTCCGGAAAGAGAAACTTAAATGTGAGGCTCGCCCAAAGCCCAGGGCTGGGGAAGGGTGGGAATGGTGGGAAGGGGCTGCCCTGACCCTGCCATGCTCCTCTCATCCCTCCCAGTCCTCTTCCATATGTATGACTCGGACCACGACGGGAAGATCACGCTGCAGGAGTATAGAAATGTAACGTATGGTCCCTCCTGCCCCATCACCACCGAATTCCCGGCCCCGGCTTTGACCCGCTGCCTCGTAGGTGGTGGAGGAGCTGCTGTCGGGGAACCCTCACCTGGAGAAGGAGTCAGCGCGGTCCATCGCTGATGGGGCCATGATGGAGGCAGCCAGCATCTGTGTGGGACAAATGGTGGGAGCCGGTTCCTTGCTCTACTGCGACACAGAGATACACAGATGGTATCGAAAACAGGGCTGGAAGGTGTCCATCCTGCCCAGTGCATCTTCCCTGTCCCCACGCTGCTTTGGCTGGAGAAGATTTTTTTTGCAGGCAGCAGCTTTCAGGGTTGTTTGGGTTTGGGTTTTTTTTTCCCTTATAAGAGCCCAAGGGGGATAAGCAAGCGGCACCCCATAAAGCATGATCCTCAGTGCGTGGGGCTTTAGTGCTTATAAAAAGAGCAGCCCCTTGCAGCCATAGTGGTTCTGGGAATCAATTTTGGGCTGGCCATGGGGCACAGTGTGGGACCAGCGCTGTGCGCCCATGGGAGACGTGTCCCACAGCCCCAAGGGACCCATCCTCTGGTCACCCAGTGCCCTGAGGCCCCTGCCCCATCGGCATGGGGCACCTGTAATGTTTTCTCTCTTGCTGCGCACAGGGGCCGGACCAGGTGTATGAGGGCATCACCTTCGAAGACTTCCTTAAGGTTGGTGGCATCTCCGCTCGTCTCCCCCGGAGGAGGGTGCTGGGTGGTGGCAGGGACCTGGGTGTTTGGCCCCCCATCCTGCTCACCCCCCCTTCCCCTTGCAGATGTGGCAGGGGATCGACATCGAGACCAAGATGCACGTCCGCTTCCTCAACATGGAGACCATCGCGCACTGCTACTGACCTACAGGAGGAGGAGGAGGAAGACAAGGACTCTGCAGCAGCTCCGTGTTCCTGGCACCAAGCGCTTTGTACCCGCCCGCGTGCCTGTCCCGTAGTGGGGCTGCCTTCTGCTCTTTAGAAACATAAGAGGCTTTTATCTGTAATAAAAGGTATTTCTCTTTTTACTCCTTGCTGAGAAATACTCTGTCTGTCCATCGCCCAGTGCCTGGTGGGGTCTCTCCCGGTGCAGAAAGCCTCCACAAATCCTGGTCACCCCATAAATTGGAATTTTTAGCCTCTGCCATGTGCTGCTCTGGGGAAGGAGCTGCCCAACTTGTGTCGTAAACCCCCCCCATCCCCAGGCCATGGGGAGTGTGTGCAGGCAAGGATGGGGATGCTGAGGGGCAGGAGGTGAAGGCAGCATCCTCAGCACCTGGAAGGGCAATCACATCCCCCTCTGTATCCCACAAGATGCTCAAGCCAGTGAAGGTGGCAACAGCACAAGGAAGAACCCCGATTTAAACCCAAACCAGCCACCTTGGCTGCATCTGCCAGCCGAAAGCCAGGCAGGAGGAGCAGCGTGGGACCATGCCGGGGCCTGGGCTTTGCAACCGGCATCCCCCCCACTGGGGCTGGGGCACGGGAAGCAGGGACATGGGGACGTGGGCTCCTGGCAGCCGGTTGGCTCCCGCCCCCACATGTTCCCGCTAGAACAAGGCACCGGAGATAAGGGTTTGTTTACTGGTATTAATAACTGGATGGCTCGAGGCGGATTTCTGTCTCTAAGGCAGCCTGAGCTGGGAAGGGAGGGGGAGAAAAAAGGGCAATGGCTATTTTTAGAAAAGCTGGAAAGATTTGTTTGTTTTATCAAAAATAGCTTCCCCCGGTGACATGTACGCTTGACGGAAAAATAGCCCCCGCCACAGCAAGCAGCCGGCAGCGCGATGGATGCACAACCACATATGGCCCCGGAGCCAGCCCCCCGCCAGCCCCCCGTGGGCAGCGAGCACCCGGCATCTCCCTGGCTCAGGGCACGAACAATTTCTCCTCCAGCTCTGCATCCATGGGGGTTTCTGCGCTGCCCAGGCATCCCCAGAGCGTAGATAAGGACTTGCCCTTGCAGGCTTTTGTAGCTTTGCCTCTCCGAAAAAACCCACTCTCCGTTCACAGCTGCTGGACCACGGCCCCTGCACCGGAGCAGCTCTTGAGAGCCAGCAGCAGGAGAGAAGCCGCGCTAACCCGGCGAAGGACAGCCCTTCCCTGCAATGCAGTCCTGTCCTGGAGAGACCTGTGCTGCTCGGCGGCACCGAGGACAGGCTGGGGCTGACCTGGCTTCGGAAGGAGCCGCAGGAACGGAGCTGATACCGTCTCGCAGCCCCACACGGGGGGATGCCACCACGCCGAGGCTGGATGTGCCGCGAAGCCAAGGGACGGCGCCGCTGCCATCCGTGGCACTGGTTGAGCCATTACTGGTGTTGTTTGAGCTGTTACTGGTGGTGGTTGAGCCGTTACGGCGCTGGCACGTGGTGCTCGACTTGGGCTGGGTGGCGAGAGCCAAGGTTGGTGCCGGCGCTGCGGGCAGGGCTGAGCATCGGGGCTGGAGAGCAGATGATGGTGATGGTGGTCCCGGCTCTTCCAGTGCAGCTTTTCAGGCCCTGAGGGTCTCCTGGTGCTGCCTGGTGGCAGCCACAGCTTTCTGAGTTTGCAGGGCTCTGGGACTCCTCAGTCCTGTTCTCTCGCTCCTCCCGACACCTCCATCTCCTAGGCTCGTGCCCAGCTCCACCGCATCGGCACCAACCGGCGCAGAGGGTCAGAGCCCGACATCTCGGCCGAGACCGAACCTCCTCTGCATCCTGAACCTCCTCATCCCCCGCCCCATGCCAGACCCCCAGCGCTCCCTTCCCTCCCCACACACACGAGAGCGCAACATCCAGCTTCTCCCCAAATCCCCAGGTTTCAGGAAGAGACCCAGGCTCCTTTCCCCATTTTCTCCCAGGAATTACCGTACTGATGCTGCAGAGCCATCCCACTCCCCAGACCAGCTGCAGGCTCCGTGCCACCGGCCTCAGCCTGCTCCTGGCAGCAGTCGTGGGTGTCCGAAAGGCCCTTTTCCACCCCAAATCACCCAGCGGGACTGCCCCTCCTGAGCAAAGTCCTTGCTGCTGCCGCTGCTAGGGACTGACATAAGATCCCGAGCCCATTCCCTCTCCATACCGTGGTTTTCTTGGAACAAACGTCAGTGCTTCTTGCAGCCAGCAAGGGCTGGGTACACTGCGCAATGCAGGAAAATAGAGGGCAAGAGGACTGAAGGGTATTGATAAGAGGGCAATTATTATCCCTTCAGCTAATTAGCTGTCCCCCAGCTGTTTTGTTAGGTAGCAAGGAAAGTGTGGGAGCAGGGACTGCGGGGAAGCAGCAGCAGGACCCAAAGCAAACTGGATGCAGCATGTTTCACCTTCACTCGTGTTTGCCTTCTCTGTGGGAAATGGAAGTCAAGAGCAGAAGGGATGGTTGCAGGGAGCAGACAAAAAGGAGAGCAGAGTAGGAGGAACCAGGGAAGATAAACCCAATCCTCAGCCCAGCAAAGGGCTGATGGTAAAGGCCAGGAGCCCCAAGGCTGTGTACAGCCCTGCCCGCAGTAGCGGTTCCTCCAGGTGGGCAGGAGCATCACTGCCGTGGCCAGTGAAAAGCCAGGGCAGCGAAATGCAATAATAATTCTGTAAAGCGAAGGAAAAACTGGCAGAGCACCGGCAAATCTGGCAAGGGTAATGTTTCTGTCGTAGACCATGGCAAATTCCTGCAAAGCCCAGAGCGTTCGACAAAGGGTAATAGCTCTGTTTACGGGGCACAGCAAGAGCTGCCAAGATGCTGAGACCTGTGACATGGCACAAAGCTCCGTTGCAGATCCCAGCAGTGGTCAGCAGAGGGTAATTGGAAAATTGAAGCTGCTTTGCCGCGTGTCGGAAAACTCAGGGAAGGTTGATAAAGGCTGAGCAGCGTATTGGAGAGAACAGTGACTCGTGGTTCTGGAAGAGCAGGACCGAGCGACCCACACGACTGCAGGGCAGGTGCCCCAGGCAGGGGTTTTTTTTTAGCACCAAGGGAACAGATAGTTTCTCAGATCCTTACCATCCCCACCCATCTCTCAGCCACAGTGGAGCTTGGGAAAGGCAGGAGAGACTGAAACACAGGGGACGTCTGCCTGGGAAGGATGGGAGGTGCAGGACAGCAGCACAGGAGCACGCAGCAACGGAGTTAGGGCAGCTGGTTGCAGCCGATGCTTGTAAGCTAAATTTTGAGGCACTTCACTGTCCTTCTAATGGCACCCTCCGATGCAGAGGTGATGCAGGACCTCCCCCCCCTCCAAAAAAGCCAGCAGCTGAAGATGCACTTGGCCCAGAGGCTGGAGGACCACATTTCTGACCAGAAATCTGCCAATGGCACAAATCCTGATCTGGAACAGGCACTATCCTCTCTAGTTTCTACTGCTTTATCCATCAGTACTTCATCTGCTTATGGGGCCTCCAACCACTGCTGGCCCATCTTCCCCTTCAGCAGCAGGGACCAGTCTCAGAGGTATGAGGGACTGGGAGGGGCTGGGATAAAACCAGTACTGGCCAAAATATAGCTGAAGGTTTTAGGACTATCCACAGAAAGGGGAAAGGAGAGGCCAAATGTCACTGAAAGAAAAGAAGGGGCAGAGAGGGCATAAAAAAAAGTATTTTTTGCACCACCACAGCTCATCAATACCACATGCTCACACCTCCCCAACAGCAACCAGGACAGGGAATGACAGAGGTACCTTCTTCTCTGGACAGGGACACGAAAGCAGAGCGGAGAGCAGGAAAAGCAGCAGGGTGGGAGGGGAAGGTGCTGCTCTGCAAAGCCGAACTGCAGGGCAGGGGGTCAGAGACTCCCCTAGTCCCTCTCTGCACAAAGAGCACCCGCTGTTCCTCCTCCCACCGCTCCTCAGCATCAAGTGAGGGATGGCAGCCCCACAAAATGCTGGAATCGCTCTTCCCCCACCACCAGGGTGGTCGAGGACACAAAACAGAGGCAAAAGGCACATTCTTAGGGCCTTTGCTGCTGGCTTGGACCCAAAATATGTGGAGGGAAAGCTGGGTTTTTTCCAGCACAGCACTACAGCTGAGTGTGTCCTACCACGTCCTTTGCATTAAGACTGTTTTACTATGCACCACCCATTGCTTTTGCCTGAAGTCAGAGCTCCAGAGCCTGGTAGCAGCTGGAGGCTGCTATACAGAGACAGCCACCCCCTTTGATCATATATTCTCTTTGGAGAACAGCAGGGAAGAAATTTATATCCAGGGATCCTTCTCATGAAGACAATGGATACCTCTTTTTTTGCTAAGGATCACTGTCATCAAGAGCAGAAACCAGAAGTTGTTCTTGAGCCTCTTCACCCCAAACTACCACCTCCTTTGATGCATTCTGATTCTTTAGCTCTCCCCAACTATGCAGCCCATCTGACAGTCGCCAGCTGGGTCACAGTGCGAGCCTTTGCCTTCAGTTTAACCTCTGCCTGGTCAATCCACAACACTGCTCCAACACGTCCTGACTGCAGCTCCTCAACTCGAAGCCCTGCCGTCAGCTCCAGGCACCACCCAACACAGAAGAGATGCCCCCTTGCTGAGAGATAACCTTTGCCTGTGGGATACAACAGGGGTCTGCTGAGACAAGAGTCCACCTTTACCCCTACCTACCTCAAACTGGTAGCACTAACAAGTCCTAGGGAGTCCCCAGATGGGAAATCCAAAGGTGGGAT